TAAAGCCCCAACCTCTTCATACTGAGAAGAGGGAAGGGAAGGGTGGCCACAAAATCAAGACAAAAATAGCTACTATGGGGAATTTAAACTTCCTTTTTGCTGATCTTCTACACAGAGGATGACTGAAGGCATGCCAATGCTGCCTCTTTTCTTGAACCCAAGACTGCCTCCACTCAATCCTGCTGAGCAACCATTAAGTTTCATAAATAAGGTAGTGAAGTCACCTTAAAGCAGTGATCTCCAACCTTTTTTAAGTAAGAGATCACCTTTGGCATTTAAAAGCAATCCAAGATCTACTGTGCACCGCCACTGCTACCCTGCCCCCTACCTCACCCAGCAGGTAAGTCTGTGAGGAGGGAAGTGGGGGCAGATCAAGACAGAGGGAGAAAAAATTATTTTGGGGCACACCATCCCAGCAGGTAAGTCCCACCTGGCCAGGGCCCCACCCAACTTATCCCTGCTCCTGCCTTTGCAGCACTGTCCCTCACCATAGGGGCCTTGATCAAGTTCCCATCCCTTCCCTCTCCCATCCGAGATCTACTGGTGGATTGAGAGCCACTGGTTGGTGACCACTGCCTTAAAGCAACCTTGAGCCCATTCTAATAAACATGTTCCAGAGAGAAAGCCCAGGATTAGTCTTGGACACGTGGTCAGTTCCTCTCTAGGGCAGCTTCCTTGCTTTGTTTCTTGGATTTGTCGAATACAGATCAGAAAGAAGTGTGCAGGGCATGCTTCACTACAGCAGTCCCATGCTTACCACAGCAGCAGTGTAGACAAGCCCAGAGAAAGTGTTAGTGAACAGAAGAGTTAGAATTGCCCTACATTGTTATCTGAAGATGTCCCCAGGCCTTTTAGTGGTGAATCTTTGGCTGCCATGCACCTGGCATAACCAATTTAGTCTCCTAACCCAAGATACATGACAGAGGGAGCCAAGGCTAAATGTGCTGTGCTCAGGTAATCTCTGCCAATAAACAGACCCTTTAGGGGAATTACAAACTGTTATAGTTTGAAGGATCTATGAACTTGCTTCAGCTTGAACCGGGGGTGTGAACAGTTTTTCCTAAATTCAAGGTGGAAGGGGAAGTGCTGGAGTGGGTATTGAAGTGGTAAACCTTCTGCAGTGCACCTGAGAATTGAGCCCCTAATGTTTTAAGAGAATGTGATAGTAGGGCTATATTTTTTCAAAGGATATGGGGAGAGCCTTCCTTTATTGGTTCCAGGCCCTGTTTAAAAGAGTGCCTCATGAGCTGAGCTTGGTTTTCATCTAACCATAATATACCATAGACCTTTAAACTCTGGGGGAAAGGGCGGGAAAGATAAGGCTGAAATTTTTTGACAAGAAAATTACTTACTGGTATTAAAATGAGTGGAAACTGTGAGTAGCTACAGAAAAGCTTAACAAAGCTAGGTAACTGAGAACCACAGAAGATTAAATTCACTGCAGATAAGTACATGGAAAGGCACTGTTGGAAGGAGCAATTTACATTACTCATCCACACTGATGAGTTCTGAATTAGCTGTAACTGCTCAGGAAGAGTCTCAGCATCATCTTGGACATTTTAATAAGAATGTTTGCTCAATGTGCAGTGCAGCCAAAAGAGCAAATACGATATTAGGCTGTATTAAGGAGTGGAAAAAATAATAAGCAAGATATTACAAAGTGATTGCTCCATAAGATTGATTGAATGGCTCCACCTTCACCCTGGAGTTCAGCTTCTGGAAAATGTGTTCCAGAAAATACTTAGCAAAAGGTAGAGAGAAATGCAATAAAAAGGGTAGTAAGTAGGCAAGGAGGCTTCTATTGGAGAATTTTTTTGAAAACAAAGGAACAAAATATACAAAGGTATACATGCCATTATAGCTCCACACACCTCAGGAAAGAGGCACTTTTGAGATCACATTTTGCCTTTCAGTCTCTCTGAATTTTCCACTGTGGAGGTAGGGAGAGATGCCTGCTTCTGGGTGATAGGAACTCTGATGGTGAAAAATTTTCTGGGGAGCTGATGACTAGATGGTCTGGCTGCTTGGGTCTGGTTCTTTTTAGGCAACCTCATCTATCTTGTTGCAATGTATAAATTACTTATTATTCCCCACACTGTGCATCCTTGCAACTCAAGGGCAGAGGTTTTGTTGTAGTAAATTCTTAGGCTTGTGCAAAGTGGCTAGTACTTGCTTTGGATTTGGATTCAACTGATTCGGGGGACAGTGTTTCAATTTGATGATTTGAATCACTGTCCCAAATTGATTTGGGCAAATCTGATTTGGAGATCGGCCACCGCCAAATCAGCCGAATCTTCAAATCGAACAGGCCCCATCCACTGCCCGACCCCAGGGTCTTGGCACTTTAAAAAGATCCTCCCTTCCCCCCCCCACACCAGCTCCTGCCAGGTGGGGCAGGGGGGCAATCCCTGCTGCCCCCATTGCCCCACACTGTGTGGTGGGGCTCTGCCATGAGCCCCCAGAGACCCAACGGTCACTGCAGAAGCTGGTGAGTGCAGGGTGCTTTTTTTCTTTTTTCTGTTTTTTTTTTTTTTTTTTAAGTGCCGGGATGCTAGGGCCAGGTGGGGTAGCCATTGATGGGAATGAGAGAGTGGGCAGGGGTTGGGGGGTGCTCAGAGGGGCTAAGGGAGCAGGCAGGGGATGGAGCCTGGCAGGGGTTCCCCCATTGTCCCCTTCTGAAGTCTCCCTACCCCCCACCCCTTATTTACCAGCATGGGGTCTGGATCCAGGAATCTGAGGTACTATTTAGTATGGAAAAAAGAAATAAGAAAATAAAAGGTAGAAGATTGTACTCAAAAGTGAAAAACAAACAAAAAAAAAGTTCAATCTGATCCTCCAAAAATCCTTCCCCATAATAAAAAGGAAACAAGGACATTACATTTTCAAGTGCAACATATTTAAATATATACTGGGTGCATTTACATGTGCATTAAGGCACTTTCCCTAATGCACATTAAATTTAGTATCTCCAACGTGAAGTAATAAGGAAAGGTGCATTAGGCTGCCTTAATGCATAGTAATGAATGTGCACAGTTTTTAAGTGATACTTAATGCACAGTAGCCTATTTTACTGTGCATTAACATAATCACACCATTTTTTAAATGTTACTTTAATGCACGGTAAAATAGGCTACTGCGTATTAATGCACAAATGTAGGCATGCCCACTGACTTCTTATTAGCTTGGCAAACAATCAGTGATACAAGATATCATTGTGTTATTACTAGTGTAACTGCAAATGTCGATCCATTTTTTAATATTTCTAAGGTAAAAATGTTATGCCCTGAAGCATCACCTGTCATTATGTCCACTTATAATACCCTTTGGTAGTAGACTGTGCAATTTAATATACCTAGAGCCTTATACCTTCCTCAACAGTGTCTGGCATTGGCCACTGTCAGCGATGCTTCTGATCCAGAACAGCAATTCCTATAACCCTAAATCCACTCAGTGGGAAGCTATTTCAATCTTGAAAATTGAGAGATGGGGGCAATAGTATGCCATAATAGTTCACAATCAAAGCCAGTCTAAAATCAAAGAAAAGTCTCAGTTGTTTTCAGATTTTCATCAATATTCAATGTTTCAAATTGTAGAAGTTCTAAGTAGAATTGTAATGGGCTCTTTGACTGGAAGAAATAGGGGGAAATTTAGGAACATTTTTCACTGAAATATGAAAAAAATGACCAGCTCGGCTCATTATATTTTATAGTCATGAAGGAAGTTATGACAGTGGCTCTCAATCTTTTTCAATTCCAGACACCCCTTCGAAAATGCCAGCTCTTAGTTTTCACTCATTTTTTTAGTATGAAAAAATAACAGAACAACAATTCTTCTGTTGCAAAGAACTCAGAACAACCACAACAGGTCAGAAAGTTTTTAAGACTTGGATTCCTATTTGGAATCGGTGGGTTTATCTTGTGAATTATGTTTGCATACCTGATTGTGTTAACACAGTGTAGCACCCTATGGCGCCCTTGAAAAGTTTTCAGTGATCTCCAGGGTGCCATGGCAACCTGGTTGAGAATCACTAAGGCCATGTACAGAGAGTCAAAAAGCCCAAGGCTGAATTGATTCGATCTCTGTAGGTTAGTCTAATCTGCACAGATAAATAGATATGCAGTGAACAGACATTCCCTTTTGATTCTGGAAATGCAGCCACATGCCTGCAGTGGCTCCAGCCAGAAGCCGTGGGGTACTAGAGCAAGCCTCCCTGCTTGGCTGAAGCAAATAGTCTGAGAGGTGGCATTTGCAGGGGAGGTGCAAAGCATCCTGGGATGTTGGGGGGCTGTGAGTTAACTTGAATCTGGAGAGGATGTGGGTCAGAAGTTCAATAAACTTATTTAACAGAAATCAGTTAATTCTGATACTACATCCATCCAAGTTTATCTTAAACAGTTTTTGGAAAATTTAAAAGCAGTTTATGCGCACTGAACTTCTGTTGTGTTATGGACTTGAACTGGTTTCTGATTGCTTGTACCTATTTATGTGTAGTTTGTGTCCCTAGCCTAAGTTATGACTTCCTTATCTTGCCATTTCCCATCTTTTGCTTTGAGAATATTCAGCTTTTAGCTTTTAACCTTTCCTTCCTTTAATGAAGGATAAGGATTTTGAAGTTCAAATTTACTCATTTCCTTTAAAGCTGCCCTTCTAGGGTGCCTCTTCCTAAAATCATACAGATTAGTAGCGTGCTCGGTATCTCTCAATGGGTACTCCAAACCTCTGGCTTGCTAAACTTTCAGCTGGTCTAAACCATGAATCTTTTCATTGATTCCCATGGGGTCTGCATATGACCGCTAGAAAGCTAACAAGGGAGTGAAAGCATCACTAGACAGGATTCATGATAGAAGGAAAACCCCTTATGATTTACTGGTTCTATAACATTTCACAACTTTTCCCAATATTTAATCCAGCTGTCTCAATATTCAAACAGTCCCTTATCACCCTATCATGCAACCACTTCCCAAGTATAAATAATAATAAAATTAATTTAAAAAACTCACTGGCAGTAACTGGTTTCCTTCAGGTCCAGGTTATGACATTGTATGGGAGATCTGTGATGTATTTAGTTCCTCTTTCCGTGCTGGCTTTGAGGAATGTTACTGCAACAGGTAAGATTCACTGCTTAGTACACACCTTGTGTAGCTCAAGGTTTGTGAGCAATGCCTTCTGGGACTTGCAGTCTCTCTGGTGCTTAGCACAACCTGTTTGAAATGACTGTAGGG